TGTATTTAGAACTTGGTGTACGATATTTGAAATCCCATGGTAAACTGAGGTTTAATTGCTCTTCGTGGTGTATCACTTAATATATTGCTGTGTTATGTGTTTTAGGCCATGACCACAATGTTTCTTCAGTAGCCATCATGCCCAATGGAGATCATATAGTGTCTGCCTCAAGGGATAAAACTATAAAAATGTGGGAAGTGCAAACTGGGTAAGTAGGTTTAGTTGAAAAGGCATCAGCTAAAGACATATTTTAAAAAAAACAAAATTGTGTTCTGAGTGTTTCGATAATTTTGGCTTTAACCTAGAATGATCAGCATGACCCTTGTATTTTATTCTTAAAAACTAAGTTTGATCTCTAAATGTCTTCCCAAAAAGGAACACCAGAGACATTATAAGAGAGACTCTATGTCTTTGAGAACCATTTCTATGTAATGGCTTATTTTCTCTGTGGTCTTTTAGGTGATCTCTCTGTGGGTTTAAATTAACATTTGTGCTAGTATGCCCCTGTTAGAACTCAGTTTGATGGTACTTAGAATTACACCTGACTGTTGTAGTAAAACCTTAACCTACATTTTATTCAGATTAGTAGAGCATAGCTTTTCGTCAGCATGGTTAGAAATATTTTTGTTAGGCTTATTGTATGTGTTGAATAGTTTTGAAAGATTTTATTTCTTAAATATAGCTTACCTTCTAGATTTGTTGATTTGATTAGCTCCTTAATGATAGTCTATCAGCTTATTTTAACTGATATTTGACTTTCTGGCCTATCCACTGTCCCCATCTTTTATTAACCTGGATGCTACATTTATTTTGTTGACTTGCGTCTGATTTCATCCCAGTACATAGCTATTGTTTTTATCACTTCTGGGAAGTGTCCTGATGATTATCATTCACAATGTAAATTATTACTTACATTGACAGCTACTGTGTGAAGACATTCACAGGACATAGAGAATGGGTACGTATGGTACGGCCAAATCAGGATGGCACTCTGATAGCCAGCTGTTCCAATGACCAGACTGTGCGTGTATGGGTCGTAGCAACAAAGGAATGCAAGGCTGAGCTCCGAGAACATGAGCATGTGGTAGAATGCATTTCCTGGGCTCCAGAAAGCTCATATTCTTCCATCTCTGAAGCAACAGGATCTGAGGTACTGTGTGATTTATGTGCCATTTCATGGTTTTATTGCTAATATTTTAGAGCCTTAGATAACTTTTCTTATTCTCAATTTCAGGGTTGTTAAGGCATTTAAAATCTGCATCCCAGAATTCTGAATCTTGAAACTACTCTTTCCAATTTGCAGATGTATTTATGTTTTTTAGCCAGTGATTATTATTGCTGCCAACCAACCCTTGATTTGATGTATAATGGGGAGTCTCCTGAAGAGTAAAAGTGGTTACTGAAATTTATCAGAGATGTCATTGTTACGAGTATACCAATGTAAAATCAGACTTA